CCTTAAGGTAATTAATTGAAGGGTAGTTCATGAATTCTAATGGTAGAGCATTCCATGTGGTTTTGAAGCCCCTTTGATATTTTCTCATCTCCTTTAAGTTGAGACAAAATTGGATTTGATCCTTTCTTAAGAGACTATAGATTGGGAACCTCATTGATGGTAGAAGTGTTTGGTTTGCTATAGTTCGAAAGTGGGGGTTTCGAGTGAGAGTGAATGGTTGATTAACTAGAATAATGTGGGTTAATAGAAGTATTAGAGCAGGGAGCATGGGTTTAAGCATTGTTTTGGTAGGTGACTAGAATGGGATGAGAATTAGAAGGATTCTTAGTATGGGGTCTAGGGATGTGTCTGAAGCTTGGATTTGTGAAACATCAAAGGTAGCTAAATTGATCAAGGTGAAATGGAGCAGAGGTGCAAGTGGCATAAACGAGGTTGGAGGTATGGAAAACTAGAAATGGTTAGGAGGAAGGAGGGTGAAGAGGAAGAGTTTGACTTACTCAAGTCAACAATTGGGGTTTTTGATTTAGTTAGGCTTCTTAGAATAAGTGTAGAAACCAAAGGGCAATGTTGGCCCTCACTTGGTTTGAATTTTGAATTCGACTTCAAACTGCGCTTTTATTGGCAGCACCTAATCTAGTGTGGTTAGCCATTGGTGATGAGATATTCTTCAATCATTGCCAACAACATTTCTTGGTAACAAGGAATCATTCACCATATAGGCCACATGAAGAGTGGGTTGAGACAATAGGGATGGATTTTTCATGATTATCCATGAGTAATCTTAGGCATTGGTGTTTTTTATACCTTAAATGACCACAAGAAAAATAGAGAGACTATATTCCTTTGTAAATAATTTTTTGGGTAAAACCATCAATGACCAGTGAGGAAGGTAGCTGTTGTTGAAGGTTGAATTCAATGCAAAGACATGCAAACCTCCCTCTATAACCTATAAGTGTAGTGGCATCAATCTTGAGGAATGAGACAAGAGAGTTCCCAATTTGTTAAAGGATATCTTGAGAGAATAATTCAATTAGTAATTGGGGTAAGTGCAGCCAAACAATGGTCGTTAAGGGCATTGCCAATTCAAGTCTAAAGTTTAGGACCCAGTGTTAGATAGAGAGAAAGTGGTCACCAATATATCATGGTCCTTGCTTTAAGATGGTAGAAAAGTCTTCTTCTGAGGATAGATTAATAAGGAGAAAGCCCTTATCAAGGTCAATAATATCGAAGTCATTTGCAAGCTCCATGCTTGCTTAAGTTTCTGAACTACATAAAAAAACTCCATTGAAGGCCTAAATAGCTTAACAGTCACATTGAGCTTATGTGGCCTGTAAAGGCACTCTTTGTCCTCGAGCATGAGGGAGATGGTGAGGACATTCTCTTCTGTTGAGTAATTGATAGAGGAGTGGATAGAGGTTTCAGTAAACATGGTAGGGCCAGGGAGGTTGGAATGGTAATAGTTAAAGGGGGTTCAAAAGGAAGAGAGGGTAAGTTATTAGCTATGTTTTGTGGAGATTTTAAAGAAGGTGGAATAAATGATTGAGAGACGAGGGTGTGGGAATGGCCAATGAGTTTGTCATGTAGGTGCTGAGGGTTGGTGATGGAGATGATGAGTTTGTCACAGTAGGTGCTGAGGGTTTGTGATGAAGACAGTGAGGCTTTGTCAATGGTCAGTTAAGATGGCTTAGTGGTTAGGAATGAGGAAGTGGTGGGACGGGACAACATTGCTTTACTTTACATCTCATATTATCTACTCTCTACACTCTATGCCCCACACTTTCTCCGCTTTCTACAAAACATACATACTTGTGTCTATAGTTCTTAGCCAGGCCAAAGTCAATAACGTGGACCTATGTGTGAGTGAATTATAGATAGTAAATTAACAATCATCTACTTAAAGATAAAGAAAGTTATTTTTTTTTCAAAGAAAAAAAAATAAATTTAACAAGACAGTCCCTTAAAGCCTGTTTGGTGGAGCCTTTTTTTTTTATGTTGTTTGTAATTTTTCCTTTTTAATTTTTGTAAATAGGCAATGGAGCCGTTTATTCTCTCTAAAGTTTAGAAAATTGTTGGAGGAAAAGTTTCGCTTTTGGT